CCATTCTGGGTTTTATTAACCTTGTTGAACAGAATAATTCCCAACCAGTAAGGGTATTCTTCTCATCAGGACCGTAGTTAAAATTGCAGTTTCTATTATCTTTAAAATGTCACCAGCTTATTCTTGGGCTATAGGCTTTTTGATACCATTTTTACATATCTCTTACCTCCTAGGCATTTGTGGTTTAAAAAGAAAACCCAGGCTCAGCACCTGTAACTCAGTAAGTAAGGCACCAGGCACATACACAGAAGCGGGTGAGTTCGAGCCCAGCCCTGGCCTGCTAAACAACAATGACAACTGCAACCAAAAAATGGTTGGGTGTTGTGGTGGGTGCCTGTAGTCCCACCTACTTGGGAGACTAAGGCAAGAGAATTGCTTAAGCCCAGGAGTTTGACGGTGCTGTGAGCTGTGACACCATGGCACTCTATCAACGGTGACACAGTGAGACATATGGGGTCAGCACCTTACCCCTTTGAGCCACAGGCGCCGCCCAGTAGTTTTGTGTTATTTTTTAGTGGGAAACGGAAGAGGAGAGAAGCTGCTGTTGCCACTTCAGTCTTGCTTGTATGGCTAGCATTGCAGGGTGACTGCAGGGCAGGCAATAGAGCTCATCAGAAAGAATCTTCCACTTAATACAGACCACACTCTTCTTGAAGGCTATTCCCTGACTATTCCTAGAAGCAGCTAAGATCTCTCTTGGCAGAAGAGGCTAAATCTGGTTTTTTGCTTTCTTTTTCTTTCTTCAGAACCTGGCAAGTACTGGAAACTCAATAAATGCCAAATGAACAAATGGATGGGATTGTGCTTTCAACACCCTATATCCTGAAGCCTAGATAGCAGGGAAAGCTGCTTAATTTTTTTTTAGAATAAAAGCGCCACCAAGTAGGAACAGTACATTGGCATGATAGGAGGTTTTAGCTTTGCGGCAATCATTTTTAAGGTGTTTATTTTTTAGCATGCAAAGGTTTCGGAGCCATTCATGTTGTTTTGGTTTGCTTTTTAAAGACGGGGTCTGTGTTGTCTGGGTTGGAGTACAGTGGAGTGATCATAGCTCACCATAGCCTTGAACTTCCAGGTTCGAGAAATACCCCCCAAACCCCCTAGCCTCCCAAGTAATGGGATTACAGGGAGGTGTGAGCCACCATACCTGGCTGATTTCTTTTTTCTTTTTAGTTTTTAGAGACAAGGGTCTAGGTATGTTGCCTGGGCAGGTCTCTAACTCCTGGCCTTAAGTTATCCTCCTGCCTCAGCCTCCCAAAATGCTGGGGTTACAGCTCCATTCATGTTAACTGCTCATTTCATTCCACTTTCCGCCCTGTGTTTTTAAAAGAGAAATTAAAACATTTTCGGTGAGGAGGCCTCCAACAATTATTATGAGCCCTAAGCACTGGTAAGTGCCTAATAAGCCAGTTTTTGTTGGTGCCTGGGAGATTGGTTGTTAATGTTAATTATCACCTCTGGGTAAGAATTACATTGTGTCAGAAGACTGAAATGGTTGCAAGCCAGCACCATGTGTGGTAAAGGCCTGGCTAGGTGGTATGCATAGCCCCTTTCCCAGAAAGTTGCTGTGGGCCATCTCACCTGCCCAGTATTGCCAGACTTTTTCATTTTTAAGCTGGAAACCCTGAGTTTAACATAAAATCGCCCAATTTTAAAATGCAAGCTCAGACTTCAGAGAAAAAAAACTCCCTTGAACTAACCAAAACACCTCCAAGGACTATATCTGGGACTACTTTGTAAATTCCATTAAATGTAGTTGCTTTAGGGAAAAGCCTAAAAACAAATGGCAGGTGTGGGGAATATCAAATAAACACATCAGGAGAAAGATGGCATGGTTTTAGAGTGACTGAAAAAAGCTAACACTAACTGGAGTACACTGTATGATTCTTACCAGTGTGTGGTCTCTTAGCAATAATTGTGAATTTAATTAAAATTTTCAGGTTCTATAAAATTCCATTTGGGTTATTTTCATGTTATCTCACCCTCCTTAATTTGTAGTTTGAATGATAGGGCCAGAATTTCATGACTTTGTTTCTTGTTTGTTTATTTTTATTAAATCATAGCTGTGTACATCAATGCAATCATGGGTTTTTCTTTTTCTTTTTTTTTAATTAAAGGCCTAGGTGTTTTATATAGTCAAGTCACACTTGTCTGACTTGCTTTGGAGAAGAAGTCTTCATTCCTTTGCTTTTAATTTTTTTTTTTAAAGAGACATAGTTTCACTTACTCGCCCTCAGTAGAGTGCTATGGTGTTACAACTCACAGCAACCTCCAGCTCTTGGGCTTAGGCAACTCTCTTGCCTCAGCCTCTCTAGTAACTGGGACTACAGGTGCCCGCCACAAACGCCTATTTTTTTTGTTGCAGTTTGGCTGGGGCCGGGTTTGAACCCACTACCCTTGGTATATGGGGCTGGTGCCCTACTCAAGTGAGCCACAGGCGCCGCCCAGCTCTTTAGGGGTTAATACTGTATTTAGTAAATTTTTTTTTTTTTTTTGAGACAAGGTCTCTTTCTGTTACCCGGGTTATTTAGAGTGCAGGGGTGTCATGATAGCTCATTGTGGCCTGACTCTAAGGATCAAGCGCTCCTTTTACTTCTACCTACTAGTGTTCTGGCAATGTCACAGGCCGATTTTGTCACTGGAAAGTGAATATATGCAGTTTTTCAATCAAATCCCCAGTGCTACTCCTTTATTAAGGCTGAGTATAGTGGCTTATGCCTGTAATCATAGCACTTTGGGAGGCTGAGGCGGGAGGATCACTTGAGCTCAAGGATCACTTGAGACCAGCCTGGGCAAGTAACAAGATTCTGTCTACAAAAAATAAAAAAACTTAGCTGGGCTTGGTGGTGAAAGCCTGTGACATTGTCAGAACACACTAGGCACACAGAGTCGCCCTTCATCTCAGCTGATTTCACTTTCTAATCTTAGTCTGTAAACAGTTAAGATCTAGTGTGATGAGCTCCTTGAGTAGGAAAGTATAGGTTGCTATGGAAACAGAAACAGGGTCTCTGACTTAGCCTTGGTGGGGTAAGAAGTGACATCTCCAGTAAGAGCTAAAAATTGTTTAAATTTCAATTACAGGTCAGTGCAAGAGGGAAGCGGTCCAGATCTGAAAAAGTGTGACAGGATGCAAGATTGAAAACAAATTCAACTGGGTTGGAGATTTCAAAGCAGCATTCTATTTTCACGTCATGTAGAACACTTGTCACTTTCTGAGCATTTCTTGTTTGCTTATTTCCTGTTTGTTTTCTCTTCTTCTCCCCTTATTCCCTCATACAGAACATGAGGGCTGGCTCACAGATTCCTCAGTGAAAGGCACAGACTGTCGTTAATCTTTCCTGAGGGCTTGGCTTGCCTTGTGTCAAATCCTGTTCTAAGTACTTCCTTCACACCCCGCCCCCACCAACCAACAGACAAAAATTCTACTTCTTCAGAACTGGCTCAAATGCTTTAACATTCTCTGTGAAACCTCCCCATCTCTTCTCCACACTCTTAGTCTCAGAATTAATTACTTATTTCAGAGTTCCCTCAGCTATTGATCCTTCCTTACAGCATCAATTTAATTATGCATAATGTTAGCTGCGTGTTGTCTCTCCCATTGCTCATTAAGTTTTAAATCATGTGAAGATAGTGTATTTTTACCTGACCCTGTAAGCCTTGTAACACTTCAGGCAGGCTTTTATATACAAAACAGGGCTCAAAAATATTTTGAATAAATAGAAAGGGCCATGACCGGTTCCTACCCCCACACCTCATTCCTCAGAGCAATCTTTTAAAACAAAAATATGATCACTTCAACCCTGTTGAAAGCCAATCTTCATCTCAGGATAGAATTCTAACTTCTGAGCACAGTGGTTATCTCAGGGTCTGTTTAACTTGCTCTCATCCACGTTTCCTGCCTGGTCCCTGTCCACACCTGGTCTAACAAACGTCATCTGCTTATGGTGTCCCGCACAACGAACTGTACTGATTGATGCCACAGGTTTTACGTCAACTACTCCCTGTGCCTGGATTACGCTTTCCACTTTCCTTGCCTGACTCGATTCAGGCATGATCTTATCAAGGAAACTTTCCTAACCCAGACAGATCCTGGTTAAGAACTTTAAAAAAAAAAAGTACTAAGTACAAGCTGAGCGCAGTGGCTCACACCTGTAATCCTGGCACTCTGGGCGGCGGAGGCGGGTGAGTTGCCCTGAGCTCACGAGTTTAAGACCAGCCTAAGTAAGACTGAAACCCGCCTGTAAAAATAACGGGCGTTGCGTTGTGGTCTCAGCTACTCAGGCGGCTGATGCAAGAGGATGCCTTGAACCCAAGAGTTTGAAGTTGCTGTGAGCTACGACGCTACCGCGCTCTATAGAGGTCGACCAAAAAAAGAAAAAAGTACTAAGAAAAGTTCATAGTGCTCCCCCATTCAAGTAATTAAAAATGAAAGCAACAGGAAACCGTAAAATGCAGTGTTTAAAATGACACACAATTTAACATGTGCGATAGATTATAGAATACTGACTGTAATTACGGTTTTCTCATTTACTGTCTACACATACCCATTTTGCATTTTGCAGACGCCCTACACAGCGTCTAAAGGATCACGCTCCGGTTTGGTGAAATTCTCGTCTTCTCGGCCACAATCCTATCTCAACAGTCACCATCTTAACATGAGCAGACTGCAAGTTTGTCTCTCCTACCAACGTGTGATCGCCTGACTACCGGTCACTTCCAAACGTATTTTCTGAGTTGAAATAAAAGCTCTTCCCGGATGGCCAACGTATTACTTCTTTAAGGGGCGCTTCCTTCCCCGCCTAGGACATACAACATACAATTGGCTGGCATCTATCCCGGGTTGGTGCTGGGATAAGACAGTGATAGAGCAAGAGGAACAATGTGAATCTCTAAACCACGCGGCTCAGAAACGCCGGCAGGCGCCGAGTGTGCCGGGAAAACTGGCGGAGCGGAAAGGGCCGGGGCGTTCCTGACGCCGGAAGTGACGTGGCTCGGCTTCGCTTTAACTCCTTATCTCGGCAGTCGACTATTCGGTCTTGCAGGAGCCTCTGGCGGGCTTCGCAGAGATCGGCTCTTTCGGTGCTCGACTCGCCCGTGCTGCTGCCGTCGCCGAAGGAGGGGCAAAGCTCAAGATGGCGGACAAAACGCCAGGCGGATCTCAGAAGGCCAGTTCAAAGGTAATTTCTTAGAGGACTTCATAAGTCAGTGGGTCTATCCCTGTAGCCTGGGGCTTACAGACGCTTCTGGCCTACGAGAGGCGAGTGTGGTTGGCGTCCACGTTCTGGTAGCGATGGTAGGCCCGGGCGCCCCTGTAATGTGGTGCGCAGGTTGAGAGGCCTGGCGTCTCCCCTTGGTCCCAGCCTGGATTCGGCTCGAGAGTGTAGTGTCCAGGAGGTTGTGGCCGGACTAGTTCTTCCCGCGCTTGACATTTGAGTGATAACAAATTCAGATTGAGGTCCGAAAACATTAAAACGCACCCCTGGATATCAGCGTGTTGTGTTCCCAGCGCGCCGGACAGTGAGTGCCTGAGAGACGCGGGAATCGCTTCCTAGTATTGGAGTGTCTGCTGCTTTTTTCTCAGTTTTTTGGTTTTTTTATCTCACCTCATTTCCGGCTTCTCTGGTTTCTTTCTTTGCCTCCAGGGGATGAATAACCTCTAGGATTTCTCGCTGTGACGGGAGGACTTTTAGTGGAAGGACGCGGGGTGGGAAGTGCAGAGGCGGGAGCACCTCTGTTTGCAGGGCTGCGTAGTCAAGGTTAATGCTGCACTCTACACGTGGTCTTTACCTAACTTTAGGGGAAGTAAAAAAGTAGCACTTCTCTTGAAGGTCTAGGACTCGGTGTTAAGTGTTCCACTGACGAGAGCTTCCGTAGAATTGGAAGCTACCCAAGATTAGTAAATTGCATCTGAGTTTACAGGGAGCCGTGTGCATGTATTGTGAAACCAGTGAGTTGTAAAAGTAGTTTAGTGTTAGTGAGGTTGTGTTTATCATCGGATCTCAGTTGCCATCTTGGGCCAGTCATTTCATTTTTTATGGCTTTGAGTTTCTCATCTCAAATACGATATTAAAAGTAGTAGACACTACCGGGAGATATTTGTTAAACTTTTTGATGCTGATCCAGGAAGTGTGTAACACAGATTCTAAGGACTTTTACATTTTAAAGACCATATATGATTATACATCGGTTATTAGAAAGTTAAGTTTTACCGTACAGGGAGAGAGTCTTGTGTTTCCAGTTCTGAGAAACATAATGATCCATTTTATACTTGCTTTCTAATAATCTGAATCTTTATACCGTTTGGTTATTTTTACCAAATAGTTTGTAATTACTGATGGTTTTACCAGTCATCCATCAGTTACATGGTAACTGTGGTAGGGGGCCAGTTTTGATTGCTTTACATCATAACCTTTATTACATGTCAGTTTTTTTCCCCTCCCTATTACATTTCCCCTTCTACCCTTCCTTGGGGGATATGGGGGAATAGGTGGGTACCTCATTCTTCTTAACAGATTCTTGACAAGAACAGCCCCACTTACAGTTAGGGAGCTATTACTAAAGCTAGCTACATAATTCATGCATTAGCCTCAAAGTGATATTCTAAGTTTTCTCCATTTGAGGCCTTAGATATGTTGAAAACATTTGAATGTAAACGTTCAGGCTTTCTTCTAAAATAGTACTTCTCATGATTTTGAATGTGTGACTGTTCCCCTAATTATTTAGATTATTATCTGTTGATGCTATTAACATTTCTTACTTATAATCTGTAAACGAAATTAGAGTATGTTGATTAAAATAGTGCATGCATATGTAGTGGAAAAGTTGTGGATTTTAATAATAAGAGGTTTGTGTTCAGATCCTTGGCTTGGTGATTATATTTTTGATAATAAGGCAAATTGCTTACATTCTCAAGCCTCAGTTTCCTCATTTTTAATAAGTATATAATTCCTTTTAGTAGGATTTGTATAAAGGTTAAAGAAGTTAATGTCTATAAAGTACAGAATAAGTCTTCCTTTCTCCTCGTCTTTTTTGTTCTTAGAAGGAATAAAAAGTACTCGGCCGGGTGCGGTGAATCATGCCTGTAATCCTAGCACTCTGTGAGGCTGAGGCAGGTGGATTGCCTGAGCTCGCAGGTTCAAGAACAGCCTGAGCCAGAGTGAGACCTTGTCTCTAAAAATAGCCAGGTGTTGTGGTGGGCACCATAGTTCCAGCTACTCGGGAGGCTAAGGTGAGAGACTTGCTTGAGCCCAAGAGTTTGAGATTGCTGTGAGCTATGATGCCAAGGCACTCTACTGAGGGTGACAAAGTGGGACCCTGTTTCAGAAAAAAAAAAAAAAGAAAGAAAGAAAAAGTACTTAGTTTTCCAAATGTCAGAATAAATTTAACCCTGAGGTTTGGAATCTATCTCAGTCATCAGGAATCAAAATGAATGCCAAGATTGGTGCTTTTTATTTTTAATACTGTCCAGAATTTATTTGAGAAAGTGTAAGATAATTTTGACTAATGCTGCAGTACTTGGACTTTCTAGTCTTTACCTCTCTGATTTGATTTTCCTTCCTTTGGAGAGAACATTTTAGGGGTTTGTATTCTACAGTACAGATGGCGTGAACAGAGAATTCTATTTTATGATTCTTTATAAATTCTGGCTGTTACGGATAGGGATGCTTATTAATCATATTTCTAGACATTGAGGAAAATGTTAATTTTAAAATATATAATATGACAAAATCATTAATGTTTCTTAATTATAAAATAGATTAAATTAGATAACCTCTACAGTTCCTTCTATCTTTAAAAGTATTTTTATGTATAGTCAAATGACTTTATGCTTACTTGTCCCTAATGATGAAAACTACATGCCTTTTTATTTTCTGTGTAATTTTGCTGTACTTTGTAAAGTCTGGCAAATGAAGACATTCAGCAAATGTTTTAGAGACGAGCTGAAGTTTTCCTATGCGCTTATTTCTGTTTGTCACTGGACTAAAATATTATTTGGTGGGGGGGGGTGTTGATGCCTTGTTATAACTTTGATTTTGAGAGGAGAGACAAAGAAAGAGTGTCTGTAATTGTTTGTTTATAAAGTTACCAAACATTTTTCCTTAGAATTCATAAAAATGTATTATTTTGACTTTAAGAATTGGTTGCTTGCGCAGCAAAATGAAGATGAGGACAATGTGTTATTTTCTTCTGAGTTTCCTGTGCTGTATGTAATATTGCTAATATAAAATATTTCATTATTAAACCATGCCTGTTAAAAAATGGCAAAAACCCATATTGTCAAAAATTGAGTTAGAGAGGTCAATAGTTAAAATAGAAATTAGTACTAGATTCTGTGGACATTCAGTGCTTAAATCGCTTTGGGAACTATTTTGATTAACTGCCTTTGCTGAATAACAAAAAAAAATCACTTAAGAAATGAGTAAAATGAGGATCTGTTCAAGGCTTGTAATCCTTAGATAGTTATTAAAGCCAGTTTTCATTTTTTTGTGGTACCCAAAGATTTAACACATCAACTGTTATATGAGTTGTATTTAATGTACACTAATTTTGGGCCCCGGGCTTTGTGAAGTGTATGTAACTCATGGATCTCTTGAGCTAATAATAAAACACTCTGGCCCCAAGGAAAACGATTTTTTTTTTCTAGTATGGTAGTAAATATGTTATATATGATCAAACAAAACTCAAACCTTGAAAATTCGGCTCTCTGTAGGTTGCCAGTTTAGTTTAAACTAAATCTTTATTATGGTATGGTTGAAAATCACACACTTCCTAATGTGATTCTGCATGGTTGTTCCTTGGAGCAGTAGTCAATTATCTCAGTCTGCCTTCTCTCCTACCTAAGTGCATGCCACAACCTCATGGGAGATTCAGTGGACATGGACATCAGCCCCTCGAGGCCTCAGAACTTTTCAGTTGTGAACTAAAGGTCAACAAAAATTATCACTTCAAGGTGGATAATGATGAAGATGAGTACCAGTTATCTTTAAGAGTGGTCAGTTCAGGGCAAAGGATGAATTGCACATTGTTGAAGCAGAGGTAATGAATTATGAAGGTAGTCCAATTACAGTAACACTGGCAACTTTGAAAATGTCTGTAGAGCCAATGGTTTCTCTTGGGGGCTTTGACATAACATCACCTGTGATCTTAAGGTTGAAGTGCGGTTCAGGGCCTGTGCACATTAGTGGGCAGCACTTAGTAGCTGTGGAAAAGATCAGAGTCAGAAGATGAAAAGGACGAAGGTGTGAAACTCTTTAAGTATGTCTGCAAAGCCATCTGCCCCTAGAGGTGGTAGCAAAGTTCCACAGAGAAAAGTAAAACTTGCTGCTGAAGATGGTGATGATAAAGGTGAAAATGATGATTTTGACGATGAGGAAACCGAAGAAAAAGCTCCAGTGAAGAAATTTCTACTAAGCTTTCCAGCCAAAAAGGCACAGAAATCAAACCAGAATTGAAAGGATTCAAAACCAACAACACCAAGATCAAAGGTCAAGAATCCTTCAAAAAACAGGAAAAAACTAAAACACCAAAAGGACCTAGTTCTGTAGAAGGCATTAAGGCAAAAAATGCAAGCAAGTATAGAAAAAGGTGGTTCTCTTCCCAGAGTGGAAGCCAGGTTCATCAATTGTGTAAAGAATTGCTTCCGGATGACTGACCAGGAGGCTATTCAAGATATCTGGCAGTGGAGGAAGTCTCTTTAAGAAAATAGTTTAAACAGTTTGTTAAAATTTTCCATCTTACTTCATTTCTGTAATAGTTGATATCTGGCTGTCCTTTTAATAATGCAGAATGAGAACTTTCCCTACCATGTTTGATAAATGTTGTCCAGGTTCCATTGCCAAGAGTATGTTGTCCAAAATGCCTGTTTAGTTTTTAAAGATGGAATTTACACCCTTCACTTGCTTTTACATATGTATGGAATGTTATGATAGGACATAGTAGTAGTGGTGGTCAGACATGGAAATGGTGAGACAAAAATATACCTGGGAAATAAACTCAGCATTTTAATAAAGTAAAAAAAAGAAAATTTATCCTAAAATATAAGGTGGTTAGTTTTTTGGGTGGAAGTTGGAATTAGGAAACTCCATTTTTGTGATTGGTACTTTTTCGAAACTTGAATGTGCAGCACTGGTGCTAGAAAATGACTCTTGATGTGGTTAAAAAAAGTTTGTATCTTACT